GATGGGATGGGATGGGATGGGATGGGATGGGGTGCAGTGTCCGGCCACTGCTGCCATCCCACTGCGATGTGGCCCCCGTGTCCCCTTCTGAAGGTGGAGGGGTGAAGCCGTTTGTAGCTTATGGAGCTGCTGTATGTGTGTGCATGACACAGATGTGTATATGCCCATATACACACACGTATTGATACCTACCACGTATACGTATTGATCCAATATATCCACACATTGGTGGTATACCTGTGTCAGATTCACCAGTGTGCTTTTACTAGACTTAGCATTACTAAATACCCATTTAACTCTTGCGCACAGGGGAGGCACGTGCAGTAGCGCCTGTTGCAGCAGAGCGTCCGGGCACGCGGTCCCTTGCTGGGCAGGGAGGTTTGCAGGGGAAGGTGGTTTGCAGCAAAATGTTTCAGTGTGAACATCAAGCAAAAGTTGCCTCTGCCGGTGGGGAGCCTGACATTTGAGGTCTGACTGGAGTTCCTAAGAAGGCAGAATGGGAGGGGAGATGGCAAAATGTCCCTAACCCACATGGGTACTTCCAGTATTTCTGCGTTGTGCAGGGGCTTACCAGTTCCCAGGGTCAGTTACGGGGCTCGTGGAGGACTGGGCAGGTAAAACACCTTTGGCCTGACGGAGCTTCTGCTGCACCCATACTGTTGGTACAGGTTGGTAACGAGCAGTTTAATTAATATAGGCCAGTGAGATGCAGATCCTTGTCCTCTCTCTCCCACTTTGCCATCCTTGTATATGTAGGGCAAGGCCTCGCTGTGTGCCTTGTAAGGCACGCACCACTGCGCGGCCCTGGGCTCGCTGGAGATGCTAATGCAATTATTGTACTATTACTGGGTTTCCTTCATGGCCTCTTGTGAAGGACACGTCTGAAATCCTTTTTGAGCATTCTATTAAAAGCCATCAGTAAATTCAGCGTTATTCCAGAAACGATAGCAATTAAATTGTCTGCATCAGGCCCAAAAGCAGATGTTGGTGGAGCAGCTTTTGGGTGGATCTTTCTGGCTGGTTTCAGAAAGTCTCACTTCCTGTGGTGGGGGCCGGGCACCGACCTCGATCATGCCACCGGACATCCAGAGCAGCTCTGCTGAACTCCTGGCATTTAACCGGTGGTGGAACCAAAGCCAGGCTATGGCCCCAAGATGTGTTGAAGGCAATCGGTATCACACGCAGGACCTCATTTGCCTATGGATCTGGATTGTATTATTTATTATTTGTTAGTGTTAGGAGAGCAAAGGAATCCTGAGAGGGGGGAAAAAACAGAGGTGGTAGATAATTGAGGCTGCTTTTTGCTTCCTACCAGTACATCTGAGCTGTTTTCAGTTGTTAGGTTTCTCATTTGCACCGAAGTTCTACTGTGACAGAGAATTGCCCACGGGTTGTTCAGTGCTTTGTGCAGTTTTCAAGGCGTTTCTCACATTTGCGCAGTGACTTGAGCGCCGGGTGCGCCGTGCCCCCTCGGCAGCCCCAGCAGCGACGTCAGGAGCGGTGTCTTTCTGGAGGAGCCGGGGACACCGTGTACCTCACTTGCCCCCGGTGCAACACGGCACGGCGTTAACAGACTCTCCCAGGTGGGGTGCCAGCAGCCGAAGCGCTTTGCCAAGCACAAGTACAAGGATCGGTTGTCCTTCGGGGCGCGTGGCTTTTCGGAGGAGCGGAGGAGACCTTATGGCCCGTGTTAGCTCTGCGATCTCTGCCATCAAATGAGCAAAAGGGAACAACACACCTGCTTCCCTCCTCCGCGCCTGCGGGTAGGGTTTCTCCTCTCCCTGAACGCTCGCCAGCGCAGCTGAGCTGGCTCAGGAGCTGCCGTAATTCACTCCTATCTTGCCAGGCCAGCAGCAAATTGCTAGCTCATCTTTCTCCCACCTGTAGCGAGGGGAGAGCCGGCAGGGAATGGTGTTTCATCCATCTTCCCAGCTCTGCTCCCCTGATGGGGCTGCTCTGTAGCGCTATAGGCGGTGTGAGCCGGGAATTCGGGGCCGGCTTCCTTGCTGGGCTGGCTGAGAGATGCGGGGCTAAAGGACCAGCCGAAATAAGGGCAAAATAAGGGGCAGGCAGGGGGTTAACAGTCTGCAATACGAGCAGGAGCAGGCTCCTCGTCTCCCGAAGGGATTGACATGGGGTTGGACCCGCCAGGATAACTCCGCCTGAGAGTTACACCCCAAACCTGTTCCCCACCAGGGAAAGTGCCTGCCTTCACCTCGGGGTGCTTCACCTCCTCTTTTCATCAGCCCCATCAGGTTCAACCAAGTTCCTCACCCATTCTCAGTCTCAGTTTGGACATTAGGACAACGCTACATTTACAGTATTTGACTAAAAAATGAGAAATAGGGTATTTTGTAACCATTCTGCTGCTGCAGAGCTGCTCGAGGAGGTCTTCCAGCCCACGGGGACTGTGATGCCTGGGGAGGTGTCCACCATTAAGGGTCAAAAGGAGCAGCTCGGACTGCTCCAACATCCCAACAGCGAATCCTTTGCCTTTTGTGCTGCCGGGCATCCAGCCCCGGCCGAGCGGGAGCACCTCTGTGCACGGGTGTACCCTGGACTTGGCATAGAAACACCGGGCTCCTACCTCCAGAGCCCAGGCTGAAAACACTGGGTGCATGTCAATTTGGGCATAGCCAGATCCATCACAGCAGTCGTGGGGAACAGGTAAGTTCCAGAGATTGTAATGAGCGTGTTAAGCTATTTCGCTTTCTCACTTCAATCGCTTTCGCAAAATGAGTTTAATGAAGAGCTATTCTGTGCTTACGAAATGGTGCTGCACAGGCTAGATGGATTCCTCTGACCTTTCAATGTGCTTTACTTGAATTGGCTGCCTCTTCATGTTCTCCGCTCGCTGCCTCGAATGGGAAAGACAGCTGAAATACCGACTCTTACAGAAAATACTGTGGCATGTTGCCTTCTTTCCACCAGTCACTGGTATTCTACCCAAAGCCTTAGCTATTTATTATCAGTGGTGTTATTTTCTCGGGTCTGGGAGCTCTGCATATCGTTTCTGGAAAGAGAAGCATCCTGTATCCTTGGTGCTACTCTAGTAGAAATCAGTGTTCTCTCTGGTGTGACACAAGGGAAGAAGTAGGAAATGTCTGGATGTGCCTGAAGGACAAACCCAGAGCCCCTCCATGGCCGAGGTGCCACTGGGAAGGACAGGTGAGAGCAGTCAGCCAAAACAATTTTGCCGCCACAGAAGATTCAGGCAAGGAAAAGTTTTCGGGCTTAGTAATATAGGAGATGGAAAGGTCAGTCTGGAGCAGAAAGGGATAACGGAGGCTTGAGTCGGATGCTGGCACAAGGAAGATTTGGATCCTCCTTCCCAGCTTCCTGCAATTCCCAGACAGCTCTCCAGATGACAGTCATTATTTGTGTTATCTTTGCACCTAACGGAGTGAGTCAGGGACCAGGGTGCTACATAAGCAAAACAAAAAGCTGTCCCTTTGCCAAGGGAACTTAAAATCCAAGAGTGAGATGGGAAAGAGCGCTGGTATGAAGCCTGGAGAAGGGAGAGGACGAGCGACCAGCGAGGCTGCAGCTTAGGGAATGGCATCAAGCGTAACCGCGGCCATCACTCATCCCTGCAAAGGGAGGAGAGAGTGCAAGGAGATAATGAGGTAGGTTTGTGGGTGTTTACAAGGATCATAATAATTGTGACGACGGCAGAAGAGAAGATGACACATTAAGGTAATGTTTGGGCACCGGCTAACATGAAGACAGTGTGAGAAGTTTCAAGTCTGCAAAATTTACAGTACTACCCAAAATAACTGCTTTGCACAGGAGTCAGGATTACCCTCTGTAACCGGGGTGCAGCCACGGTACGTGCCAGTGAAATGAAGACAGATTTAAACCAACGCTGGAAACCTACCGACCACCCCACCTCTCACGGGCAGAGGGTCCAGGTGTCAGGTCGGGGATGGGGCACTGGGGACTGCCATCGGGCTGGGAAGAGCACGGGCAAGCGGAGGCTGGATCTGTGGCGAGCAAAACGCTAACGAAGCATTTTGGATGTGGTTGTGTTCACAGAAGTATTAGCGCAGTCGTGCAAAACGTGCGGATGACACCGGAGTGGATGAGAGCGTTAATGTCACTGCTGAATCCCCATTTCCCGGGTGGCAGCAGAGGATCCGCAGGCGAACAGTCGCATAGCTGTGTCTCTCTG